CCCATTTCTGATGAAGGGTCTCGGCCCGAGATGTCAGCCTTCCTGCTCCTATGATGCTGCTTGGCCTGCTGTGTTCATCCAGCTCTACACCTTGTTATCCAAGTTTGTAGTTTGCTTTCTTATCAGGAATAACTTCTCTGTTCCTTGTTACATTTGATGTTCGCTATCTAGTTCACAACATAGCCTGTCCTGTCATTATCTTAATTTCCCATTTGTCACAAGGCAGTTAGTTATCAAGCACATGTTAAAACAGTCTGTTTATGTAGCTTCAATGCCTTCTTTTCCCATGGATGGCATATTGGCATGTTGCTTTTAATTCTTTTATAACAGTTTGTCCCTTATCTCAGGAAACAGTTCATTTCAGTACGAATTATAGCTGATTCCTTCAATCCATGCACAGTTACTGAAGTTCTGAAATTGACAGTATCACACTGTGCTGTTCACTGAGTTGCACGAGCAGATAACTTAGATTTAAGCGTGAACCTGAGGATCTCACACTGCTGCTTACCATGTGATATATGACGCGGAGGTGTCGGTGTTGAACTGGAGTGGACAAAGTCAGAAGTCACATGATACCAGGTTATAGTTCAAGAGGTTTATTAAAATCACAAGCTTTCGGAGCGCTGCTCCTTCATCAGGTGACGACTTCATCTGACAAAAGAGCAGTGCTCCAAAAGCTTGTGATTTCAACCTGGTGTCGTGTGACTTCTGACCATGTGATGTATGAGCAGTCAAATCAAATCCATGCCACTGCCGATATGTTGCATGGGCATGCCGCTATCCTGTATGAGCTTCTGATCATGATGAATGCTGCTGCCAACATCCTCAAGTCTCAGAAACTACAGGTAAAGGAAGATCATTTGCTGGTGTAACTATAAAAGTATCTTAGTAGTATCTGAGTAATTAACAAGAACTAGTTAATTGCGCGTTGGCAACTAACATGTTACATTGATATGACGGACATTGTTATAGAGACTTTAAGGAGGGTCAGATGTTAGGTCTCACTCCTTTGAAATCCCAAACTGTTCTGTCCACAAGTCCACATAACATGATCATAGTGAATGGTGCATATGGTAATCATCCATATTAACTCTTTCAGGCCCATATACAATCTAATTCTGCAACAAAGTTAAAAATAAAATTACATAAAGAGGAAATGGTAGAAGAATATAAATTACATCCATTTGATCACTGACAGACTCCCAACCAACAGAAACACAGATATTCAATTCACAACATCAGTGAAAATCCTTATTGAACCAGTGAAAATCCTTATTCAAGGCCTGATCTTTGCAGTTTTATGCTTGCTTTCTACATCCTTCTCCTTACTCCTTTAATTTTTAAGATTCACCTCCTTACCAATAACCTCTCCACTGAATCTGAAGGAACACAGCAGGCCAGGCAGCATCAGAGGAGCAGGAAAGTTGATGTTTCGGGTTGGAACCCTTCTTCAGAAATTTCTGAAGAAGGGTCCTGACGTGAAACATCAACTTTCCTGTTCCTCTGATGCTGCCTAGCCTGCTGTGTTCCTCCAGCTCCACATTGTGTTATCTTTGACTCCAGCATCAGCAGTTCTTACTATCTCTGACCTCTCCACTGAACCTGTCTTCTTCTACTCTCCTGTAAGGTATCCCTTCCTAAGTACTGTCCTTATTCAGTTTGAAACTGTGCCCATTATTCCTTTCCTTGAAAAAGTCACGCTTGATCCATGCTCATCTCCAAATACTGTTCATCTCTATTTTGCCTTTCTTCTCCTCATACCTCTTGTATGGACTTCCAGAAGGTTTTTGATAAAGTCCCACACAAGAGATTGTTAGCAAAGGTGGAAGCCCACTAAATTGACGGCAAATTACTGACATGGATAGGAAATTAGCTGAGTGGCTGGAAACAGAGATTTGGAATAATAGGAACATTGATGTCAAATTGGCAGGATGTGACTAATGCTGTCCCATAGGGATTTGTGTTGGGGACTTCAATTATTTACAATATTCATTAACCATTTGGATAATGGCATAAAAATTCAAATATCCAAATTTGCTGACGACACAAAATTGGGCAGCATTGTAGACTATTGTTGACAACAGCATAAATTATGGCAGTATATTGATAAATTAGGTGAATGGGCAAAACTGTGACAGATGGATTTTAATATAAGCAAGTGTGAGATTATTCTCTTTGGACAGAAAAAGGATACAGCAGGGTATTTGATTTAGAAGGCACAAAATTAAATACAGTGGATGTCCAATGAGATTTGGGGAATCAGGTGCAAAGCTCTTTAAAATGCAACAAACTGGTGCAGAAAATAGTCAAGAAGCTAATGGAACGCTGGTGTTCATATCTAAAGGGCTGGAGTATAGGGATGTAGACATTATTCTGCAGTTATATGAAACCCTAGTTAGGCACCACTTAGAGTACTGAGAGTAGATCTGGGCACACATAAGGAAGGATGTTTTAGCTGTGGAGGGAACTCAACACAAGTTTCCAAGGATGATACCTGGACTTCAGGGATTAAATTATGAGGAGAGATTAGACAAATTAAGCCTTTATTCTTGAGAATTTAGGAGAATAAGGGGTGATCTGGTTGAGGTATTCAAGACATTCATTGGAAAAGACAGGATAGATGAAGATAATTTATTTCCACCGGTTGAAGTTTCCAGAACCATTGTCATAGTCTATGAATTAGGGTCAGGCCATGCAGGAAAGATGTTAGAAAGCACTACTACACGCAAAGAATAATGGAAGTTTGGACGTTTCTTCTTCAAATGGTGGTGGATGGTAATTCAATTGTTAAATTTGAATCTGAGACACCAATTTCTTATTAATTAAGAGTATCAAGGATAGGGATTCAAGGCAGGTACATGGAGTTAGGCCACAGATCAGCCATGATCTTATTGAATGGCAGAGAAGGCTCCAGGCGCCGTATGACCTACTCTTATTCTGATGTTCCTTTGTTCCTATATCTCATCACTGGCCAGCTCAATATTCACCTGGTTTGAATCCCTCAGTTTCCATCCTGATAACAGCATTGAATCTATTTCTCTCATTGGGAACTGAACACCAGCTACATCCACGTTAACTTGTGAAACCAGAATGTTAGCAATTTCAACTAATGGTTCAATCCAGTATACAAGGGACCCGAATGTTATCTGAGCAGTAGAAAGTCCCCTGGATGAGTGAAAGCATATTTTTGGAGTTGCATTCTAAGGTAACATTTTACTATTTGACAGAATATTCTAGAGACTCTGGAAATAAAATCTGATCATTGTTTCCATATGAATGTTCATTTGAACACAACAAATTCCACATTCACTAGACAAATCCATCATTATCCCAAACCTCATCTGTGATAGATATTCTCTTGTTTGAAGGAAGGTAGTTCAACTACTGTGAGTGGAGCAGCTCAGTGATTAGCATTGCTGCCTTACAGCACCAGGGACCTGGGTTTGATTCCACCCTTGGGCGACCATCTGTGTGGAGCTTGCACGTTCTCCTTATGTCTGTGTGGGTTTCCTCTGGGTGCTCCTGTTTCCTCCCACAGTCCAAAGATGTGGAGGTTAGGTGGATTGACAGTGCTAAATTGCCCATAGTGTCCAGAGATATGTAAGCTAGGTGAATTAGCCATGGGAACTACAGGATTACAGGAATAGGGTAGTGGGAGTGGGTCTGGGTGGAATGCTCTTCGGAGGGTTGGTGTGGACTCGATGGGCCGAATGGCCTGGTTCGATACTGTAGGGATTCTACTTTAAAAGTCATGTATGTTTGAAGTAACTTCAGCACAGAAAATGACAACACAGCACCATCAAATCAAACCTTTCTGGTGAAGTGTCCAGATTAGATATTTCCTATTTTGTAAATCTTGTAACAAATATATAATACTGCAGATGCTGGAAATCTGAAAACAAAATCAGAAAATGCTGGAAATACTTTATAGGTTTGATAACATCAGTGGAGAGAGAAACAGATTTGATCTGTCAGTTCGAAGATATTTCTTCAGGACAGATCACATAATGAACTGAAACTGCAGTCAACTATAATAAAAGTGATGGGATGTGAATAAAAGTGAAATGGCCAGTATTTCACACAGCTACAGTGATTAGCAATGGTGTTGAGTGAACCTCAGCCAAATATTATCATTTGGTAACTCAAACTAGTGAAGACAGTAAATGGTCAAAGGAACACAGGATCAAGAACATATGCGACATGGATTTATTTCAAGATTGCTGAAGAACATTGGATCAGGATTAGCTACACCAGTAACCTAACCATGTGGTGAAATGCCACCAGGTATCTGGCTGAAATATAAAATAGAATAAAATCACAGAAGGCAAAAAAAACAGAAAATTAGTCATAACCAAAAAGAACGGCAAATTAAAAGTTTATTTGAACCCCAAAATCCCAACTTCGTTCAAACTGCCAAACTGCTAGAAAATGAAGGAGCAATTTGCTAATTTACACTGTCTCAGAAAATCAGTTACATTCTCCGAGTTTTGAGATCTAAGGCTGGTCAACGCAAGGTCATATATGTCAAACCCACAGAATTTGACACCATACCAGAAAGGTGAAAAACGTGAAAGAATAAACCAAATCAAGCTACCCTCAGTGTAAATCTGGAACCAAAGTCTGAAGGTGACAATCAGATAAATTCCAGACCTTTCAACCAATATTTTGCAGATCACAGTCCAAAATTTAATTTATTTTTCAAGATTCAATTACTTTGCCCACAACATATGAAAGCAATGTTACATTAAAAGTTCAGTAGAACTACAGCCTGTAACCTCAACCACACACAACATATCTGATCAAGGGTCATATCATTCTTCATTGAAGGTGAGCTTTAAGAGTAAAGTTAGACCACTCAAACCTTCAGAGAATTCATGAGGATGAAAATTTGGGCAATTTAGTGGAAACAGTAGATCTCACTGAGAAGAAAGCACCTGAAGACATAAATTAAAAGATCAACTAAGGCACTAAAACACACAAAGAAAATAGCTCAAAAGGGGACATCTGACATACCGTAGCTGACCAGTTTTACTGATGTACAAAGTAGCCTTTTACAATTCTCAGGTGTACCGTGTCAAATGGGGCACTTGAATTCAGTCAGGAACCTCAACACAGAAATGTGCCTTTCAGTTCAATTAGAACTGTGTTAGCATTATTCCTCCATCCCAGCAGTATCCTAAATCCAACATACTTATCCTGTTCCCATTTCGCCCTTACATTCAGCCAAGTATCTAACCTATGCTTAAAGGTTAAACTGGGACTGAAAATTATGAAAAGCAGTGGAGTGGCAGCCAGGGTGCCCAGAAGGTCACCTCCCCACTGGAAACTTGCCTCACAGCTTTAATGTGCTTCAAGTTCTTGCCTAATTGCAAGAACTGCACTGCTCACTGGGGATGAAGTCCCACCCTTGGGATCAACATCAGTAACACTACAAGCACAACAGTGAGCACAGCAGTACTGTACACAGGCTCACAAGGGGACACAATAGATCCTGGAGCAAAGGAAGTGCAGAGTACTGGGTCTGGGAGGGACCGGAAAGTTTAGGGAGAGCTTGAGTGGAGTGAGAGCTGGGATTTTGAGAGAATGCAGGTGGGAAGAGAGGGTGTACTACCTTTGGGAGGGCAAAACCTTCTGAAGATATTGTTGCCTCAGGAGCATCCCTCTGTCCAAAAATGAGCCCCCTGAAGACATTCCCCCCATTCCACCCCCCACTTCCTGCAATTTAATAAATTTATCTTTTTTAAACAAAAGTGGCAATCTCATTCCTACCAGCTTGCCTACAACAACCATACTTTGCCATTAGCATTGAGTTTTCAATAATTTCAATTCAACATTCATTATAGTGATGGTGATGACTGGGCTGCTCATTTCAATGCCAGGTCACCACTCTATTATGGGGGTGAGCTCAGGGGTGGGTTGGGCACCTAACCCAACTAGGTATGATGTACCCATGTGCTGATAACACACCCCTGGGCACTTCAAACATTCAGCCTCTGACCTGAGGCTCTAGCAATCACTCACTTTGGTAGCTAATTTCACTGCCTCTCAAGAATTTGTGAGACAAGCATTTCTCCTTTTCTCAATTCTAAATCTCTCATATTTTAGCTTTTATCATTGTTTGCACAATCACTGGAAACACTCTATTTCAATCTTTTTCTGTTCCCTAAAAAGTACCTCTATCAAAGTAACCAGACTTGTCCTCAAATAAACACAGGGCACTGGGTCTGGGAGGGACTGGAAAGTTTAGGAAGAGTTTGAGTTGGAATCTTTCATCATATTTATATTGCATCATAGCAGACAGTGTTTCAAAGGCTCTTCCCTGTGCCCTTTCTATTGCCTCACCATCCTTCCCATTTAGTGCAGCCCATAACCACATAGAATACTTCCCACAACAGCTCCACCACAGTTTTTAAAAAGTATGCTGACAAGCCAGCGTTTATTAAATTGTTAAATTTCTTCTTCTGCAGAATTCCATAACACTTTCCAGTGATTTGATACAACTGAATAAAAAGTGGTCTAGCAAGGGGGTAGTGAAAGTTGACCATGATGGTGTGGGCACTGGAGTCACCCCAAGGTCAGACAAGGCAGAACTGCAACTTTTCACAGCCACAGCTCTTGAGAGTGACTCAGCCTCCCCGCTCTTGCATCCAGCAATATTAAAGCTCAGACTGCTCTCTCCATATGCTCATTGAACAAGGAAAGGGAGGAAAGTGTCTTAAGAAATTTTGCCTAATTCTGATTCAAAGACAGGATGTTGCACATGGTGAAAGCTAAATCCAAGCAAGAAACAATTACTGAAGAAAAGGCACCATATGAGTAATTGTTGTAAATGGTAATCACAGAACTCTTACAGCACAAAAGAAGGTTATTTGGCCCATCATGCCTGCACTGGTTCTTCAAATGAACATCATTACCTAGTATCAAGCTCCTGCTTTTTCCCCATACTCATGCATTTTTTAATCTAAATAATTGTCCAATGCCCTCTTTAATGCCTCAATTGAACCTGTCTCCAATATAATCAGGGCGGAGATTCAGTTTGGAGGAATGAGGGTGGTAGAGTTTGATGTTCTGGTGGTATACAATCACACAGTCCAGGGCAGAGACCCTTACCCACTCTCCATATACTCAAGGGAAAAATTGTGATCAGGAGGATGTGTGCTTTATGTGTGACTGTCCAGGACACTTTACCTGGGATTCTGAGACTGCTGGGAAGCTGGGCACTAGGGGGAAGTCTTCTGACCCCTTGCTGTTAGGTGGACCTGGAAGGGAAGGAGGAACACACTCAATGTACGCCATAGTCCAGGAGAATGGCTGAGAGGGGAGTTAGCTAAGATTGCTAAGGCTTGCTGTCAGTAAGACTGATGGTGTCAGGCTTCTCTGATGTGGGTGTGTAGTGCCAAATGCGATAGTGTAGGACGACCCCGAGTGAATGGCGAAATAGAAAGCCACCCCACCAAATTCTTATCGGTCTCTGGAGGTTCCTGCACCGTCCCCAACACACCCAATGGAATCAGTTTATCATAGACACTAAACAGAGAACGATTTTGAGTGGGGGTAAAAATTGATTCAGAGATAGTAGGAACTGCCGATGCTGGAGAATCTGAGATAACAAGGTGTAGAACTGGATGAACACAGCAAGCCAGGCAGCATCAGAGGACCAGGAAAGCTGACGTTTTGGGTCTGGACCCTTCTTCAGAAGAATGGTCTAGGCCCGAAACATCAGCTTTCCTGGTCTTCTGATGCTGCTTGGTCTGCTGTGTTCCTCCAGCTCTACACCTTGTTATCCCACGATTTTGAGTGGTTTCACCAGCGACTCACAGAAAATGAAGGAAATTGACCCCTAGAATTTAGATTGAGAGAAATTGTTATCACTTGGCTATATTAGTAAATTTAGACCCAGAAGCAGAACACATTCTTGGCCATGACTTAGTGAGGAAGTGTAAACTTTCATTTGATCCAGTAAATTGCGTAATTTGGTAAATGGGAGAGTTGGCAGATGTGCCCGTAGAGGTCCCTGTGGGGCCGTCTACTGTGAGGATATTTTGGGGAAATTTGGGTTAACCCCAGCCACATGTCAGATGATCCAGAGGTGCAGAATATTATCGGCAATCATAGGACCATCTTTGCAACCCAAGACACAACTGTGGTTGAATGATGGGTAAAGTGGTCACAGAGGGACTCAGTTCAAAGCCACAAAAACAGTATGGGTTTCTCAAACAGCAGAAATGGGAGTTCTCAAGGTGATAACTAGTTTGTTTCAACAGGGAGTATTGCATCCCGTGGCTCCCACAAGTAACTCACCAATATGGCCACTCAGGAAGCCATGTGAATCTTGGCAACTCACAATTGCCTACTG